AGTTTGAGACACCTGATCTATAGCAACTTTATTTATCTCCCATGGATAAAACAAGTTAGTCTTAAATAGGTTACTTGATTAAAGGTAAGAAATAAAACCCTACACTTTTAAAGACAATGTAGAGAATCATTTTCAGGAGATGCGTTTCATCTCTCTTCCTGAGGTTAAAAATGTTCTCTCAGCCCACGATGGTGGGCCTTTCCCCAGAGTTCATTAATTAGTTAATTAGTTAATTAGTCTGAACAGATGGCTGTGCAACACAAATCAGAGGGCTCTCTCAGCCTGAAGCAGGAGGAAGGTAGGAGAAGGTGAGGCAAAAAGACTCTTAAATCACAGCAGTCCAAAAGCTCTGGGCCCGGCTGAGCGCAGCAGACATTTTCTTCTCATTCACCCATTTTATCGCACAACCACCGAGCACATCATAAATTATTACACGCGTTCTTTAAAGTATTATTTGTGAAACACACACATATATATATGGGTTGAAAGGAACAGAGCGAAGTGCTCTAATAGGAGGCAGTGGTCACGTTGCAGTGAGCATTTATTCCGGCGAATACTTTGCTTCAGTGCAGATTTAAAAAAGCATTTGTGTGGGTTTATTTTTAGACTGCTCCCATCTCCACCCTTCTGTTTCCTCTTCCCTCACTGTCTCTCTGCAACTCTCCCTCGCTCATCTGTCTCTATTCCCTGCTCTCTCCTCTTACCCTGCTTCTGCCTTGCCCCGATCTCCTCTCTTAAAGGCGCAGGCGTCGTATGAAATGAGGATGGCGTGCGTAAGCTCCTGTGAGTGTAAGTACAGGATAATGCTAAAGATTAGAACATAAAACCATTAAGATACTGTGTACCTCTGTTTCTCACTTTGACTTAAATGCACTGTGTCAGAGCAGAGCGCTGTAAAAAATTCAGTTGGATGGTGCATTATTCATGCATATGTTTTACGCACGTTTCGCAACTAATTACTCCACGCACACACTTGAGCGGTGCACAATAAGGAAATAAAGCGTGTTCAGACATGCTTGTGCCACACAAAACGTGCACACACAAGGATAATCGCCTTAGTACAGTAACCCATTTAAAGCATATCTGAGAGTGTGAGTGAAAGAGAGCGAGCACACGTTCGCCCACATGTCAATTTTTTATTTATTTTACCAGAATCAAGGACGCCACATCATCCCTCATAATAACTCCGCCGGATCTATCGCCACCTTTTCATCTCTGTATTTTCAATGGATTTTTATGACTTCCTTTGGAGTTTCAGGGTTATGCAGGTAGTTTAAAATGCACGGGCGCACTTTAAATGTCTCAAATATGAATCACAGCACAGATGTCAGAGTAAACCAGACACCTTTACGCTCTGAGCGCAAGGTTGCAGAGGCAAATGAAGATATTTGGGATTGTTTCTTTCTTTTTTTTATACAATACTCAGATCTTAGCTTTTTTAACAGCTGCTATGTCTCTCGACAGTTATGAAGAAAAATGCCTAAAACGAGCTGAAAACCAGCCAGATAGATCAGCAGGTTTGGGTCCGGCTGGTTTCATAAAACTTTCAGTTTGCCCTTGTCCCCGCGCTTCTCAGCAGGCACTGTCAATAACAGTGTGGATTATGTTGCCCTCTGTTAATACTCCCTGCAACTCTTGGACTCTGTCCTAAACTACTCCAGTTTCTCTGTTTATCATCATTGTGATATGTTGAAACAGGCCTGATGCAATAAACAGGATCTGATTACCCAGCCTGGCAACAACGAAGGCCGCCGCAAATAGTCTTTGTGCAAACACCTCCGGAAGATGATGGGCGAATGTAAATACTTGACTTCCCTGATATCCAGAAGCACAACGACTACACGCACACACATGCACAGCTTAACTCATCCCACACTCACAGCCTGTGCAACCACAGCAGAATTACAATAAGGTGATACAAATTACAATACCCTATAATCCAAAAAAGACCCTCAAATGGACACAATACAATACAATATGCAAAAAGAATAGCAGTGGCTCAGCGTACATCTAAAACATCCTTTCAGCCACAAAAGGGGGGCAAAATTAATAAATTGGTTCAAGCCTTGGGCCAAATTTCAGTGAATGCATTAACTAAAGTCAAAGACCTGACATGTTTTATTGGTTGCAAGTTCATAAAGATCTCATGTGTTTGTTCTCTGTTGCTCTTTTCACGTCAGAATCAAAGATTACTAAAAAATCCAAGTTTTTTTGGCTTAAAAGTTAGAAGCTGTCATAAGAAGTCAGCACTAAATGAAGTATTTATCAGATTTTTAGGCAAAATGTGATAATGATTTACATTTACATTATCATCTTGGGGGGTCACATAAGATGTTAACAGCCAGATTTGGCCTGTGGGCCTTGAGTTTGACACGTGAACTGGATTGACACAAAACTGGGAAACGTTTGTCGATGAACACTTGACAAATAGGTTGTTCCCTGCTTTTATTTCATATCCCCACCTGCCCTGGTGTGACTCTTTCAAACCGAATCAAGTGCAGCAACGAGCTAGAATAAACACGGGCATTTTACACCCTGCGGGCCACATCTGGCTACATCCATTTGGGAGGTTAATGAAAATAAGAAAAACTATTTTAAACTTTTCTGCACACAAATCCAAACTCTCCATCTATTGTTATTCTGAAATCGACTTCTGCAGTGCTTTTATTGTGTAGGTAAGAGGATGTTTACTGCAGTGTCAAGAGTCTCCCTGCTGGAACTGAGCAAAACGTGCTACGGGAGGAGCTGAGAGTCATTCACCACACATTCACCGAGGGCTACCAAACCTTATGAACACTGGTTTTAACTTGTTTAAAGCTCAGAGGTGACAGGGCTTTCTCTGTTGCAGGTCCAAAACTGTGGAATGAGTTACCACTGCATGTCAGACAGGCTCCCTCTCTCTCACTGTTTTTAAGTCTCGTCTGAAAACACATTTTTAGTCCCTGGCTTTTGACACTGTGTGAGCTGATTTTAACTTGTCTGTATTCTATAATGTTAGTCAGTGCTTTATAAATAAAGTGGTATGCTATGATATGATATGGTAGACATTATGAACGTTCAACCAACGGGCTCCAACTCTGTCATTTTACAACATCTTAGTTTAAAACTCTGGCATGACATCTAAAATTGCAGAAAAACTGGTTCATGCATTTATCATATCTAGATTGGACTATTGCAATGGTTTGTTATCTGGGAGTCCAAAACTTTCTTCAAAAAGTCTTCAGTTGATCCATAATGCTGCTGTCAGAGTTTTAACGAGAGTTGAAAGGAGAGATCACATCTCTCCAGTTTTAGCTTTTCTCCAGTGGCTCCTTGTCAAATTCAGAATTGAATTCAAAATCTTACTTCTAACCTACAAAGTCCTCAACAACCTAGCTCCATCTTGGGTTACAGATCTTATTGTTCCATACAGATCACTTTGCTCTCAGACTGCAGGCTTACTTGTGGTTCCTAGAGTTTCCAAAATCAGAATGGGAGGCAGATCTTTCAGTTATCAGACTCCTCTCTTCTGGAACCAAGTTTCTGTCCGTGCAGCTGACACTGTGTCTACTTTTAAGATTAGGCTTAAGTATTTCCTTTTTGATAAATCCTATAGTTAGGGTTAGCTTGGGTTTCCTGAGGTATCCCTTAGTTATGCTGCTATGGGCTTATACTACTGGAGGAAAAATTGACTGTTGGATAATTTATTTATCCTACCATCAACTCATTAAATAAATAAGCCACACAGGAAAGGAGAAGATCTTTCTTAGCCCAGGGTTTAAAGAGGAGCAGCCGTTGATAAACCAGGTTACAGGATGCTGCATCACATCCAGATCACAAGTTCTACTCACAGGCAGTATAAAGAAGTGTCTTTTTATAATGGTACAAAGGTGAGGTCAAGACAAATCTGCTTTCCAGCTTAGGGTTTATCACGTGAATGGCTCCATGCTTCTGCAGGTTCCACTTTGCAAAGACAAAACAACTCTAACAAGCACACACGGTTTATATAACATTTGTAAGTGAAAAACATCCATGACCTTTACATCTCTATCACTGACCACATTTCCTCACTCTTCTGCTGTCTTTACTTGTTCAACTCAACCTGTTTTGTATTTGTAATTACGTATTTCTATCATTAACACGTGTTTGTGTGTGTGGGTTTTTTGTTATTGTCTTTCCTCCTATAGAACGTACACCTGGACCTGACATTCTCTGTTCGTTTCTCCATCATGTCCTCTCAAACCCAGCTGGTCGAAGCAGATGAGCCTGGTTCTGCTGGAGGCTTCTTCCTGTTAAAAATGAGTTTTTCCTTTCCACTGTTGCCTTTGTGCTTGCTCAGGATGGGAGACTGTGACGAAGTAAAGGTTCAACACAATCTGCTGGCTTCCTTAGATAGAGATCTTTACTAATTGGATTTTTTATGTATGTGAATGTTTCTGTTCAGTGCCCTGAGACAACTTCTGTTGTGACTTGGTGCTATATAAATTGAATTGAAGTGAAATGAGAGTGAGGCAGGCAATAAGCATTTATTCAAGAGATGACAGGTTGTTCATAAACAGTCACATTTGTATGATCATTTTTAATATTGTGAAAATGTGTATGGTAAAAACCCAAGAACTATCACAATATTGGCTTATTCTACAGCACACTTAAGATTTTCACTTTTTACTACACGCTGCCTTAATTTTCTCCTAAATTTTTCTTTTTTTGAGTGTAAAACCTAAAGTGGTACATAATGACTTTATATTGACACTCAGCATTGTCACATTTTGAAGTTTGCCTTCAACAGACATTCAGACACCCTGACATGTTTTTCAGCAAGCACACAGCAATTTTTTTTATACATTAAGAATTAAACACACTTCAGAATGTTTGCTTTGACACAATAACCGTTAAATGAGCGCGTTCCAGTTTTTAAAGACGCTCTGGCATGAGGATGTGGCGTCGAATCAAACCCTGAGCTTTGTACAAATCCTGCATCTGTCGCGAACATGAAACGTCTGTGATGTGTTCAAACTCACCGAGCACACCGAGCCGATAGTTCATGGTGACAACGATCACGTTTCCGTAGGCGGCGAGAACGCTCCCATCAAACATGTTCCCCGAGCCCTCCATGTAAGAGCCCCCGTGGATGAACAGCATCACTGGCTTCTTACGACGATCCCGAATGTCTGCACACAGAAACAACATGCATGAAGATTCAGTTTGAATTTCCACACAACTTAGTACGATTTCTCAGAACTTCACATTTGAGATCATGTGAAAAGGTTATAAACAATAGTATCACATGTCATAGACAGCTTGTTGTATGGCTTCATGTTGGAAAAGTAGAATTTACTTTGACTGATGATCTAACGACTAGTCCGAGCGAAATGAAGACTAAAGGGCTGTTGCCTGAAAACAACTCCAACGTCACCATTTTCAACCTTTGAATTTCACATAACAGAGTTATTGTCCTCCCAGCGCAGAGCAAAAAGGCAAAATTGAAAATATCCTTCATCCATCTTTCCATCTATCCATCTGTTCATCTGTCTGTGAATGTGAGCTGTGTAGTGAACTTGACCTGATGTCAAAACTAAGCCTAAGGTCAAAACCCTTGACCTTAAGAACCTTGTGGGACAGAAACTGTCATTTCATTGATTTGAATCGAGAAATACAGGTTCACCCATCCTGAGACTTTCTTTCTTGAAAATCAAGTGAAAGAACACTCTCTTTTTTATTATCATTACTATTTTACAAATGTTGATAACCAAAGTGTTTTAGTTCAAACCATTTTAGATGTTGCAGTGAACTAATCAATTTTATTAACTGTAAAACAGTAACAATGATTTTTTAGTTGCTCATGCAAAGTTAGAATTCATGTTAAGGCCTGTTACAGAGTAATCATGCATTTTCTGTTTTCTGTCTGTGAATGAGCAAGTGTGCGTTTTCCAAGGTCAGGAGTCGAAGCAGACATGTGTCTTGTTTTACATCCTCTCAGACGTCAACGGAGAAGTTGGCACCTGTTTCTCCAAACTCGCCAAAACAAAACTCTCTCTGTCTCTGAGAACAGTTTTAATCTGTTCCATAACAATTCTTGCTGTTTTCTGACTTCTAGTAACCTCTTACATCACAAAACACACCCCTGTCTGGTTGATAGTGACCAATCAGGAACGCTCAAATATACCGGAAATAGAGCTCTTTAAAATGCCGGTACTTCCTAGTTCTCTCAGGGCGGAGAAGTTCTGAGATGTTCGCAGTTCTGTGAAGTCGTTTGGGAGAACAGAAGTCCAGCCATGAAAAGGCTCTTCCGAGTTTGGATTATAACATCTTCCACCTCTGAGTGGAACTTCTGAAGGACTCCACTCATGTGAAGTCCACCCGGTGAGGTGAACTGTTGTTGACGAAGCCCCGTCACCACTTCGAACGAGTCACAGCTATCCTATGGAGACGCTGAAAGGTAGCGTTAACCGGAGCTCCTCTTCTTCTGATCCATCATCAGAGAGGTAAATGAGTCTAGTCTCCTACTGAGCGTACCGAGGAAAAGCTGGGTCGGATGGAGGGTGTCGTCCTGTCAACACTTTTCACTCATACACACCACATTCTCCCTCATCCATCTTTTACTCCCTTTAAACTTCATTTTCCATCTTTAAAATTCTTCTTTCTGCTAGAAAATTAATCCAGATGTTTTTAGAAATGTCTGTGTAAAGTGCTCATTCCACCGCCGTGTGGATTGATGTCTGCTGTTCTGCTGAAGAGTGAAAACAATCGCCGCATTGTTTCTCACTACCTGTAAAGCTGTTAATTATGTTGTTATTTTCATATTTTGCCAAATTAATGTAAATGTTTGATGTTAAACTTTGATTCTGTAAAATAAATGACCACATTCATTTTGATGGGTCAAAGATAAATGACGTCTCACGTTACATTTCATTAAATTCAATGCACGTTTTATTCAGTCCAGAAAAATGAAGAATCCGTTTTAATTGATGAATATATCTCAGCATCTGTTCATCTACAGCTGAATAACTTGAAAAATAAGTGAGGTAATGTGTGGCTGCATCTAGGCATTGGGTTGCCAGGTCAAAATCCAAGATGGCTACCGCCATATATGTATATATGTAGCTAAACTTTGCGAGTTGGATAACTTGAAAAATAAGCAACGTACCAACTTCCATTTTGCTGTATGACTGAATCTTGGCTTAAGGAAGATTTGTTTCGAAAATTGAGCTGCCAGGTCTAAATCCAGTCTAGAAAACCACTCATCTTGTCAACTTTCAAATATTTATTTTTCAAATCCCTCAGTGACAGGGGACATAGGCGTACTGCTTGTTTACATTCACTCTGTAATTATTTGTTTGCACTTCATGTAGAACATGGGCCACTTCCTGCAGGTTTAGTGACATATTTCTGCTGAGATGATATAAAGCATGGTTGAGTAAAAGGTTATGAATTAGCGTTCAAATAAAAACATAAAATATAGTTGTTTAAAGACAACAACTACCAAAATTAAAGTTATTTATTTCAAACAGATGTCTTTCCAAAATGTACGTACAACAGGTAAGATGTTAATTACTCATAACTTCTCCAGACAGCCCCAATTCAACAGTTTTGAACTATTTCTTTACGGTAGATCTAGATTTTATCCACTGTTATTGTAAATCTTTCTGGAGATATGACTTATTCATGCAACAAGACACTTCAGACAGCCAATGATTCACCAGATAAAAGAAGATAAAAATGCAAAGAATGAAATATATTTCATGAACCGCTGTACGAGTCGGAAGCCTCGTTGGACCTATCCTCCATATTTCCTTCAGTCTGATTCTGATAGCTCTGATGCTGTGACTCTATGGTGTCTTTGAGTTTGTTACATTGCTACACTTTACATTGCACCCCCCCCCCCCCCCCCTGCACACCGTCTGTGGTGTGTTCTGAGAGTCGGAGCGTGGGTAAAGGCTGCCCATGCACCCCCCGGTTAGGCCGAGCGTCTGCACTGTGCAGGCCCTGTGGATAATTTGTATGAAAAGCAGACCAAGTGGAAACATAAATAATAGCTACAGCATCTGTTTACCCTGATGAGCTTCAGCACTGGGGGGGGGGGGGGGGGGGGGATAAGAGGAGAGAAGAGGAGATGGGGTGGAGGAAGAGGGGAGGAGGACAAGACAGGGAGAGAGGAAGGAGATGAAAATAGGGCAGCATGAGAAATCTGACGGGTGAAGAAAATGATGGGAGGTTCATACACAAACACTAAAAAAACAACCCCCCCCCCCCCCCCCCCCCCCAAAAATAAAAAATAAACCTGATGCAGAGGATGAGAAAAATAATTAAGCAAAACAAAGCGAGACTCACATAGAAAGGTACGCTAATGAACACTGAAATCCACACAGGATTCACACCGCATTCATACAAAGAGACACACACACGCAAACTCTTGCATAGGCAGCTGCGATGCTGAGTCGCTATGGAAACTGCTTCTTGCTAATAGAACTGCACCAACCATTCCATCGCACCGACTCGCTGAATGCCTGTTGCCGTGGTAACAAATTCCACTCACGTATTTGCACACCCGCCTGCATCACCACCTGAATCTCAGGTTGCACATGCACTCGGGTGCGTCACTCCCAGTGCACATACGTACACACACGCAGGAGCGCGTGCCGGCGGGCGAATGTGACCGAGCGGCGCAGACGGGTGAAGAGTTTGAAGTCATTTTGTTTGACTGATCTCATGTATGACATGAGCGAGCTCACAGTGCAATAAATAAATAAAGAAATGAACAGTTTTAGTGGCACGCTCCTTTTTTTTCGTCCTTGCTTTGGTGTATTCTGAGCCTCGGCTGATTTCCCAGAGGATATGTAAGCAGGTTCAATTATCTCGGCATCACTGAGACAGTACGGAGGAGTGACGTCATCAGCCACGATCACAGCGGCTCTGAATGGAGAGGACAGGAACCCAAACAATGACTTGGGTTTGCATCTTAAAGGAGAAATGATTATTTATGGTCTTTTTGAATGGTTTGTTGTCAAATGATCACCGTAGAGCAGGGGTGTCCAGACGTTTTCATATCTGGGCCAAACCTATCAAGATGAAAGCACTCGTGGGCCACAAAATGTGAATTTAACTCTCATCGTGAACAAAAGTTTGGAGAAAGGACAAAAGTGTACTGATTTTGGTGGAGAACGAGTTTTAAATTGTCATAGATCCCAAACATTAAAAGCCTCATAATTACTATGGTTTTTATTATAAAGGATTTAATTATTTGATTTGATGGGTCTGTGTTTGTTGTTTTCTTGTGTTTGGAAAGTTCATTTTAGTCTGTTCTCAGCAACAAAAGCATAATATGAGTTAAGGCCTCCACATATTCGGGCGTACTGTGTGTACTCTAAGCCGCGCAAACTCCGCGCGTACTGTCCGCAGACGGTTGAGACTTCATACTCGAGCGTACACCTTGATGAACTGCAGCCCACTTCTGCAGGTAACAGGCTTTTACCTTCGGAACAAATTGAGGTCGCCGATTGGTCATTTGCGGACACGCCTACTGGATTGATTGACAGGTTGCGTCGCGGAGCCGATTCGTAAAAAAAAAAAAAAAAAACGAGAGCTGCCAGAAGCCCTGGGTAGGAGTGGTCTGCGCATACTCACAGACCAAGCTGTCGCTAGCTGTCAGGTCCTCGGACCCCAGGCCCACCTCCAGCTCACGAGGCTCCTGGCTCGCACTCCCTGAGAATTAGTAACTCACGCTTTCTCAATAAATTACAATATTTTACAATTTATTACAATCTTACAATCTAGTTATTTTTTTGCTACTTTTCTTTTTGATTGTTTGTTAGTTGCCATTTTATTTTTAACTTGTAAAAAAATAATAATTAAATTTGTACGCATCTTTTATGATTGTCTACTTTTGTCTTTGTTGTCCACTGTTGTCATCATTCTTAGTTAAAAAATTCAGGTCTCTCTTGTAAATGAGTCCTTGAGGCTCAGCGGGATTAACCTGTCTAAATAAAGGTTGAATGAAAAAAAAAATCAAGGAAACATGAATTCAGTTTACCCATTGTATTAAATCAAGGCAGGAAAAGGTTACATTTTACAGCACTGGCCTCTCCGATACAATTCGACACGAGATCTAGGACCGGAAGGGTTGGATGACATGTTGCCTTACAACTATTGGGCCTATGCTCCGCCTTCTTCC